GAGTCACCAAGAGACAATTTTTTCTCAAAAGATAAATTCAATTCTTCAGACAACAACCAAGAGGAGACCTGATTAAAGGTGACGGTGGCAATATTGGTGCGAATATTTTGCTTGAGGGAGGCATAGTCGGCCGGTAGACCTCGTAGAACACAAAGGATAATATCTTGTTCAGAGATTTCTTCATGAGCCAGTTTGAGAGACGACACAATAGTGAGAACCGTGTCCAAATAGGATTGCATCGAATCGGTCTCCTTAGTAACACCATGGAGACGCTCCTTCATCTGAAATATATGAGTTCGTGAAAGAGAGTTGTACCGTTGTTCTAGATGATTCCAAATTGCAAGCGAGGTGGGAAGAGCATGAATATGTGTCTGAACCGTAGGTGAGACAATAGCAAGGAGACATGCCCGAATTTGAGTGTCAATAATACGCCAGGATTCATAGGCCGGATTTGGTTTCATAACCGGCGGTTCATCCTTTCTCGGTGACGCAGCCTTCTCATCAAGAATATGAGACGGAGGAGACGGTTCAGATCCATCCACATAGCCGAGAAGACGATGAGCGAGGAGATTTGCACGGACGGTGGCTGGCCAAGAGGGATAATTGGTGTCATCAAGCTTGACCGGGGTTAGAGATTGGAGATTCCGGACAAACAACTTGAGACCCGTAGGGAGACGATCCATAGGATCAGAAGAGACAGACGCCATGGCTGTGCACGGCTTGGTAGGAGAGCTCGGCTCTGCCGATTTTTTTTTTGATGATTAACGCAGCAAGAAAGGAGAGAAAAAAGGATCTTGGAGCTCCGATACCATGTTGATTTATGAATTCACTCTTGAGGAATAATTGTGTAAATGGATGTTTATATAGGTGAGGATCCCTACATGGACTAGGATTCACCAAATAAGTAAACTAACATAAATAACAATTCTGCTATAACTAGACTTCTTTCCATATATGTCTAACACTTTCTTTTTGAATATTTAATCAATATTTCCCAAAAGTAATGTACAATGTTCAATGAGAATTAGGTATTAATAATTTGTTTCATTCCTTAATTTGTTAGTGAACATAAATTGAATAAGACAATGCAATTGGTGAGGGAATTCATTTCTAATAATTACCTTGATATGTTTCCCAGGGATAAATGATTCCATCCCGATTGGCATCAAAAAATACATTTTGGTTCCCATTACATTGGTTCTGACCCGGAGGCGCTCCGGTGCCCCGTTCGTAAAATTGACGGTTCCTACCCCGGTAAACCCCCCCCACCCCGCCCCGCCCCGAATAAACCCCCCACCCCCTCCAATTGCACCCCACAAGTCGATTTTGGGATGGGGGGTTTACCGGGGGGTTAGGGGGGTAGGAACCGTCAATTTTACGAACGGGGCACCGGAGCGCCCCCGGGTCATCCCATGACATTGGTTCCCAATGTCATGGGAACCTTCCCCCAAAAAATATTACATGTTTTTTCAGAGGAGTAAGCTCACGAGAATCTCCTGTTCCTGCAATATCATATCCATCAATTTGTCCATCTTTCAATTAAAAAACATCATTTCTTGTTTCAATTACAGTGTTCTTTAAAGTTCGTTGTGGGTTGTTGTTACATTGTTAGAGGAGTAACAAAAAAACCTGGTAAAAAAATAATGTAGTTCTAGGAAAGATTTTTATAAGTACTTCATATGTACGTTACGTTCGGGCAAAAATGTTGTCGAAAAAAAATAGTGAAAGAGAAAACCGATAAAAAATAGCATGCCGGCGTCATGAAAAACACTGTCGTGGGAGGAAGAAGATGAATCTCTGGCGGCCATGGCTTTGCAGCAAATCAGGAAGAGACGTACGCTAGCTATTTTCTTTATTATATTTCACCTTTGATTATTTGATGGGGGAGGAATATATGGAGGATATATACTCGGTATGTGTTACTCCCTCCGTCTCAAAAAGAATGGGACGATTTCACTTTTTTGGAAATTAAGGGAGGAATATTTTGGTATTGACTTTCCAAAAATATCCTTGATGTGATGGGTAAAAGTAGGATGTGATGGGTAGATTATTAGGAAAAAGGTATGATGTGATAGGTAGGGTATGAAAAAGTAAGGGGTAAAAGTGGTTTTTTAATAGGAATGTAACGGACTTTACGGGACGCAGTTTTTTCTAAACGTAACAAATTTTTTGGGACGGAGGGAGTATTTTTCTTGGGAAAGTGGGAGTTGTTAAGTGATCATATGTACTCCCTCCGTCCCAAAAAGTCTTTCCCGTTTCATTTTTTGCGCATCCCATAAAACACTTCTATCTCGTCTTGAATGCCAAAAAAACTTTCAAAATAACTTCTACCCACAATAAAGAAGAAATGTTGTAAATTTTAGACATTTTAGATGTCGGTAGAAGTGTTTTATGGGATGCGCAAAAAATGAAACAGGAAAGACTTTTTGGGACGGAGGGAGTATATATTTGTGTTAGGAGAATGTGCGTGCCCTGTTATTACTCTTTTTTTTTAAAAGCAAAGTGCGTATATATGTATAGGATTATGCTATGTGTACCCCAAGGTTTGTACCCCAATTTGTACCCCACAGTTTTGCACCAACACTTTGTGTTGGTGTAAAACTAATTTTTGTTAAATGCACCAACATTTGTGTCCGTGTGAATTTTTATTAACGCACCAACACTTGTGTCGGTGTAAACCATTGAAATGTTTGTGCAAACATGTGGTGTATAAATGGGGTATATTTTTTGGTGTAAGTGTAGCATGGTCCATATGTATATGCAGCAAGCTAAGCAAGGGAAGTGTGGAAAGGATGTATATTAAGCTTGTCGTCTAAAGTTTGTTTTTGGTAGGACTAAAACATTGAAACTATATCAAAATATGATTTTTATGTTTTTATTTCTCGAAATAGGATTTACATTACCAAACATGGTCATACTCCCTCCGTCCATGTATGATCTTCCCATTACGCGTTACGAAGCTTGACCGACTTTATTTTCAATTCAATTTAATTGATTATAGGAGTAAAATTTTAAAATAAAATTTATATAGTAATAAACTACATGAAAAGTTCTACAAAACTAGAGGTGACAAGAATATATTATTTTATGAAATGACTAGTAAAATTGAGTAAACAAAGTGAGTAAAATTTGACCCTGTGAATAGTGACTGGGAAGATCTATGGTGGACAGAGGGAGTATATATTACCAAAAAAATATAGTAATGTGCACATGTACACTGCCACATTACCACAATGCAAAATCCTATTTCGAGAAAAAAAACATGAAATTCCTATTTTGATACTTTTCTCTATGTTTTAGTTCTATTTATAGTGATTTTTATTATTATTTTTCTTTCTTAAAGTTCGATTATTAAACACGAACAAGAATTGTTTGGTTTTAAGGTGGAATCGAGAATGATTTACTCATCTCTCCTAAACCAAACCCCAAATTCAGTAGTATACTTCTTTCTTTCTTGAGTATTTGTTCACTTTTGGCTTTTTCAGTTAAAATTAGTAAACTTTGACCGTATTTTATTTTGAAAGAAAATGCTTCTCATTAAAGAGGTAGGGGCTGTTTGTTTCAGCCTCTTAATGGTTCAGATGTCTGAATGGTTCAGCACTTAATGGTTCAAATTGTTTGTTTCAGCCTCTTAATAGTTCAGATGTCTGAATGGTTAAGAGATTTGCCTCTGAATGGTTAAGTATTATACAGAGTCTGAATGGTTAAGACCTCTTATCTGAATTGATCAGACATTTGCCTCTGAATAGTTAAGCAATATACTAGCTCTTAATGGTTCAGACCTCTTACTGGTTCAGCACTTAATGGTTCAGACCTCTTACTGGTTCAGCATTTACCTATTCAGAAGTTGCCAAACAGCCCCGTAGTGTCAACCGGAAAAAAATTATTGATTCTTTCTTTAGTTTGCATTCTACCCTTAACAATCAACCATAATATGAATTGAGGTTTAGGTAGGCTATACCTGTTCCAAACCAGCTTTACCCAGTTCGGCTTTTGCCTTTCTCCAATGAGCCAATTGTACCCATCCTCCATTGTGTATAGCCTGTCTCTTGGCATATCCTCAAACCATCTTCTATTGCTCAAGATGTTTTTCCAATAGTAGCAGCTCTTAGGTCTAGGAGATATGTCTGAGACGTTCCCCTGTTTGACACATCTGGTATGTATCCATTTTATCCACACAGAGATTCTTTCTTATTTGCAATATCCCAACACATCTTCATAATACAAGCTCTGTTCCAGTGGTCCATGTTCCTGATTCCTAGGCCTCCATTGCACTTAGGCAGGCAAATCTCGTATTAAATAGAAATAATATTAGAAATTGATAAAACAATAGTTTTATTGATTTATTATATAAAAAATTTTCAAAACATAATTTTATCTAATTAATATACAATATATATTTTATTTAATTATAGATTAAAATTGAAAAGCGATTAAGAAAAATAAGTCAAAACTAGAACATACTTAGAAACGGAGGTAGTATTTTTTTTATACCCAGTAGCGCACCGAAATCAAATGGTTGGATTTGCAAAAAACAGAAAAACAACCTACAGTTGGGTAATTGGTTTTACCAAAAACCAAATACTACGTTTTAGCCTAGGGCCATTTTTTCTAGCTCCTACAATGGAATGATAATAGACCCTTTTTTTTTCCTTTAGTCTACTCCCCTGGATGCGAATGAAATCCCCCCCCAAAAAATTAATAAAGCCAATGGTGATCTCTCATTTTCGATGCATGCTTTTCCACCAATGTGGAAGAGGGCTCCCATGGTAAACTTTTCTTTGGACACAACACCATCCTCATCTTTGGCTACCATATATATACTACCTTCCACTCTTACAATGCAAGAATCCTACATGTACATACCGAAACAGCTACGCAACCATAATACATTCCGAACTTAGTCGGACAAACAAAACTCAGAAACATCGAATTGAATGAGTAAAAAATAACCCGTATGAGGAATATATAGTGAATGTGTAAGACATAAGCTGTATTAGGTTTAACGCATCAACGCATTCGTAAGAATTGAATGATCAACAATTAACAAATTACACGGACACTATCGGCATGCTTGTCTCACTTTGTATTATATTATTGCTTTCAAACAAACATTTAATTACAAGTAAATTACACATGCTTCTTCTTCGATGCATGCTCTTCCGCCAATATCTGGAAAAGGCTGCCATCATAAACTCCTCCTATTGCTTCTTTGGATACAATACCATCCTTGTTTTTAGCTACCAAATATAGTACCTTCCACTCTGCCAATGCAGCAATCCTACATGTATGTATGTATGCCAAAACATTAATAGTGTACTATTACATTCGTACTCAAAAATAAGGTAAGCCATGATATCTATTGGGGGGGGCGAGGGTAGGAACCATCAATTTTACCAACAAAGCATCGTAGGTGCCCGGGCCATTTTAATGTCAAAATAGTCAATGTCAAAAGATCCTACCCAAAATTAAATAGATAATAAGTTGTCTAGTTCAAAATTATTTACAAGAAAGAGAAGCATTATGATATGCATGCATGGTATGAGCTTTTGATATGAACTGTTCAATAATAATAATAATAAGTATTTTAGGTTTTAAAAAATACATTTTGTCTTGTTTGATAATTTGAATGATTTCAGTGAATACAAATGGGGTGTTCTTTCCTCCCTCCAATCCAACTGACATATATTTTTACTCTTCCACCGGCAGATTAATAATTTAATACACCGAATTTAAATGCCCATTTAAGGCATTTTATGTACTGTATTTCTTAGGCTTTTTCCATCTAATCATTGTTGTCTTGATTCCTCTACAGGCAAAATTTCATGGGCTTCCCATCAAGAACAGCCCAACCCACCTCTTTTTCCCCTCCTCCCACCTTATCTGAATTAACCCTGGCACCCTCTGCCACCATCCCTTCTACCACAAGCACCACCCCCTCCCCCCACCCTTTTTAAAGAATTTTGGTCTAGTCTGGGCATTCAACATCCTCTCGTTCTGATCGCCGTGGCGCGATAGACATACTCGTTCCCTCTGTCCCAAATAAATAGGCACAGTTTGGTTTGAGTTTGCAGAATTTAAGAAAGGCGTTGAAACTTAAAAAGTAAATGATTGATATTTGTTTAAAAGAAAGAGAAAATTTGTGGACTACATATTCTTTACTAAATTATAAAAGTAAAGAAGTTTGACAATTTCTTTGAACTGAATGAAAAGAAAACTGAGACGATTAATACGGGACATAGGGAATAGATAATTGACACATCCTCTGAAAGTAAATAATCATAGAGACATATTCTAGGGAATTTAATATTTGGTGAATGTATATCTTGTTCGTGTTGTATATATCTATAGATAGCTTTCTCGAGGATGGGGCTCATCCTTTTTTATTAATCAATACACAATAAATTCCCTTTCAAAAAGTACATGATACATTCTAAACACAATAAGATGATTTTTTTCATGTGGCTGTTTATATTTGTGATTAAAGAGTAGACTAATTTCTAATTTGGGTCCTGTAGCTAGACTTTTTCAATAAAAGTTGGAACTTTTTTTTCACTTTTGGTGATTTTATTTAGTCCTTTGTTTTTATAAAAGTTTTTTTTTTTGCTCAAAATCTCGTGTGTGAACCTCATGAGTATACATCGCCTATTTAGTTACTTGGTTGGATTAATTATTTGCCACCCAATAAAGAATTTTTGTGATCCAATGAACTTTTGTCACATCTTGTTTTATAAAACTTTTGGTGTATTTTTGAAATATGAGAAAAAAACTAAAATAGGAGTAAAACATAGGGAAAAAACCAAAATAAAACTTTCATGTTTTTATCTCCAAAATAGGATTTTCAATGACAATAATGTCAATATAACACCAAAAAAACTGTGGAATGTCAATACACAATGTATCACACTGCAAAGACATATTATGGAGATAAAAACATGTCACTCCTATTTTAAGAATAAATGATATGTTTTGCTTGTACTTTGGGTGATTTCTTTTGAAATATGTCATTTGTATTTTTTTAATTTCTATACAAGTTTGTAAATAAAATAATTTTAAAAGAGATGGAATTTTGTACATTATTCCAAACAAGCAGTTAATCGTAGACGAAAGGACTAGTTGGGTTAATAGCCAAAATATCGTATTGGTGGCCGTGAAAAGTCAAATATAAAGATATTTAGATAGAGGCCATTTAAATCGTTTACATGTTTAGGAGGGTCAAGGGTGACACGCAGGATTAAAAAAAACTTATTTTGCCAAAGGACTTCTGCGATTTTAAGTTACATAGGACTAAAATCGTTAAAAAGGACTTCTTTAGCCAAAGTGATATATTTATAAGACCGATATTACAATTTGGCTTAGATGAGTATATTCTTTAGAGAATTCTAAATAAACTTGCGTGAGGGGAAAAACAACTTACCATCCTTTATAATCTTTTGGCTGTCTATTTGCCTTAAGAAATTCATCCAATTCTTTTGATGTCAGACCATTTGCACTTGATCGGGCATGTTTCTTGAATATTTCCTCAAATTTTGATAAAACAAACCTTCAAAAAGAAAATTATATCAACACACATGCTTTATAAAGTGAGTCAGCACACTAGTGACACTAAATCTATAGTTTTCATAATCAAACAGATAAGGCCATTTGTTCACAGCTTCACTAGTTGGAGAAGTGGTTCGAACGATCAATCAGAAGTTCGAGCTGCTTTGAAAAATTGAAGGGCATGTTTGGTGAGCAAAGCAGGATTAATAATATATACAAAGTTCTTAAAATCTTAAAGAAATTATATAGGTCATAAAATTTACGTACTATTTACTTTTTCAGCACATTTATTAATGCAGACTCCGTGCAATCAAACTTGTTGGGTATGAAACCCATCCCACACCGGATGAAAAAAGAGGGTACCAAAATAAATACATTCAACTCAACCTATTAGTACGAATCCTTTAGGAAACTACTCAAAAACAAATCCGTGATGGCTTGGCCAAAGCAAACAATATACTAATACTAATGCACGATTGGGGTGAGGGTACTCATCGTCCCAACATGTGGTATCAAAGCCAGGTTATATTTGGAAATGAAGAATTTGTCAACGATAAGAGAAGAAAATCGGAGAACGTGAGAAATGACATCGGTATAAAGTTCAAATGTTACTCGAGAAGGGACAACCAAAGCTCTGAAGGTAAAGACTCAAAGGCCAAAAAATTGATGAATGCTAAGACTTTGTTCGTTTCGGTTGTAAAAACAGAGTTGGATGTTGAAAGAAACGGGAAGTTGGAAGAAACTGGAAAGAGTTGGAAAGTGTTGCAAAAAATAAAAAGTTTTAAAAACCACTCAATTAAATAATCACCCAAATAAATATGTAAGAAAACTAATTTTGGATAAAAAAGAATTCATATTTGTCTGCATTTGAGGTGGTATGTTATATATTTAGATATATAATGTTGTTGTATATTCATTGTACTAAACACTTTTTTAGTCGTTGCTCGAAGAAACTGGAAAGAAGTGGAAAAAACTGGAAGGAGTTGGAAAAACTGAAAGGAGTTGAAAAAAGTTGGAAGTTAACTTTTCCAACCCAAATGGACAGTGGGCCAAACACCGATGAAAAGAAAAACCAGAAAAGTTGTCGAATGAGGACTGGGAGAACTTGAAAGACATAGCAACAAATATAATTTGAATATGCCTTTCAAGTTATACTCTCCGAGAGTTTCTTGGTTTGACAGATCCGGTGGATATTTGGGATAAGTTGGAGAGTCGTTACAAGTCAAAGTCATTGACAAGTAGGTTATACATCAAGAAACGATTGTTTGGTCTTCAAATAGTGGGTGAAGCAAACTTCAATGGACTTCTGAATGAATTCAACAAGATTGAAACAAAGTCGGAATCCATAGATGTAGAGATTAAAGAGGACAAGGCATTGCTTTTCATGGCTTCTTGTTTCCTTCGTCTTTTAACATCATGACTACGCTCTTGTATTAGAAATAGACCCTAAAATTTAATGAGGTAGTGACAACATTAACTAGAGATATCATTGGAAACTTTAGATTCAGAAGGCTGTTTATTTTTTGCTCAAGGTGGAGTGTTAAAAGTTTCCATGGGGAAAGGGTAGTATCACAACGAAATATGTGAAATAGCTTGTATAAACTTGCAGGGAAGCTGTAAGAAGTTACAACTGGGTCAAGCAAAACTTTTACATGGAAGAAGCGGGTGATGTTTGAAGCTTTTCTAGTTGGTGAGGGCCGGAACGACGAACGAGCGAGGTGGAGCCGGACCAAGTTTGACTTTTTAATCAAGGTGAAGTTTGTTGGGATTGATTGAATAATCAAAGAAAAAAAAGAATAAAAAAGAGAAAGAGAAAGAAGAATAGAAAAACATAATGGATGTGGGATGGTTGACCAATTATACGTTGCATGCACATACATGTGGCGGAGCAACTATCCTAAACACAACTAAGCTTTTGTTTTTCCTTCTTGATGGAAGCTGGCCTTTTTTATCATTTAATTTCCTTTAGACTTTATAAGACAGGATGCTTACAGAAAGAAACAAGAGAGAGTGAATAGCCTGATATATAGTTATTTGAAGAAATACATTCAGACTTAGGATGTGGAAAAGTCTATTTATAAGTGTCTGGATAATATTTGGGAACAACATTTTCAATTAGTGTTAACGTTTTGGCAGTAGATAACTTTTTGAAAATGCTAAAGCAGTTTCCAAATGGGTCTGTAATGCTCTACTTTTACTAAACTAAAATTGTAAGTTTGTGGCATTTAAATAAAAAAAATTCATTCTTTTTTCATGTCAAATAAATATTCGAAGATACTTTTGTAGAGAAAGTAATTGATTAATGTACCTTCCTTCTGAATCATAGATACCGGAATCACTAGTATGCTTTGCCAACTTGATGTTTTCCACCTCAATAGGGAAGAGAAGGGATGGCCACTTCCCCTACAACAGAGCATATATATTATATATACATACAGAGTATATATATATTACTAATTAATGTCTTTCTTTTATTTAAAATGTCAAAATAACTACTCACGAGTAAGTTTTGTTTTAAAGTGTGATAATTACACATTATATACAGAGGAGCATATTGGTCAAAATTCAAAAATAGACAAATAATTCTATAATCAAGCTGAAAATTATCATTAGGCCAGCCACAAGTAGCATATTGCTGAAAAAACACAAATATATGTATGTGTGTGTGTATGTGTGTGTAAGAAATCACCCAAAATAGGAGCAAAACATAGCCCTTATTCTCAAACTATTAGTGACATATTTTTAAACCTTATGCATATTCGCATTATATGTCCTATTTTGGGATAAAAACATAAAGGTCCTATTTTTGTTCTTTCCCTATGTTTTACTCCTATTTTAGTCTTTCTCCTGAAAATTATTCTATAATTGGACTAATTATTTTAAGGACATTAAAAGCATGCCAAAGCTATCACTCTTTTTAGTTACAACCATAGTTATTAAAGGCGCTCGCCTTTCTCGATTTTCTAGCCTCAATCACTGCCACAGGGAAGAGAAGGGATGGCCACTTCCCCTACAACAGAGCATATATATTATATATACATACAGAGTATATATATTACTAATTAATTAATGTCTTTCTTTTATTTAAAATGTCAAAATAACTACTCACGAGTAAGTTTTGTTTTAAAGTGTGATAATTACACATTATATATAGAGGAGCATATTGGTCAAAATTCAAAAACAGACAAATAATTCTATAATCAAGCTGAAAATTATCATTAGGCCAGCCACAAGTAGCATATTGTTGACAAAACAAAAATATATGTATATATGTGTGTGTGTGTGGGTGTGTAAGAAATCACCCAAAATAGGAGCAAAACATAGCCCTTATTCTCAAACTATGAGTGACATATTTTTAAACCTTATGCATATTGGCATTATAAGTCCTATTTTGGGATAAAAACATAAAGGTTCTATTTTTGTTCTTTCCCTATGTTTTACTCCTATTTTAGTCTTTCTCCTGAAAATTATTCTATAATTGGACTAATTATTTTTAAGGACATTAAAAGCATGCCAAAGCTATCACTCTTTTTAGTTACAACCATAGTTATTAAAGGCGCTCGCCTTTCTCGCTTTTCTAGCCTCAATCACTGCAGGCATTTGCCTAGCTCGCCTTTCTTGCTTCTTTTGCCTCAATCACTGCCTTGAGGGTTTCAGATATACAAAGCATAATATTCATTTCTACATTTCTATATATATATATATATAAGGTCACTTGCCATTAATAACTATGGTCACAACTCACAACTAACATCATTTTTTATTGTTACATTGCTTGCTAAAATTGGCTTCTGAACATTATCATTTACTAATAGTGGTTTATAATATCCCTCTGCTTTTTCTCTATTCTTAGTTCAGCTCCGTGTTTTGGATAATCCCTCCCTCCGTAAATAAAGTTTGGCATTTGACCTAACCAGATTTTTAAACAAGTAAAACTGTGTTGAACTCCCCCGTCCAAAAATGAAATTTATACTCTCTTTTTGATGTTCCAAAATAAAGGTTACACTTTTTCCTTTTCTTTTTAAAAAATGAATATCACTTCTATCAATTCTCACCCTTCTAGATTAATTTCAACACACCTTTCACTTCTTAATTTTTTTTTAAAACTTTGAGAAGTCAATGTGAAAACTTCATTTTGAGACAAAGGGAGCATAAGTTTGTGTAGAGAGAAATCCTTTTCAGCTTATTTATCCAATTATCTAGAATGCAGTTACCAAACACCAAACCATAGAAATCGGACTAGAGACTCCAAATTCCAGACTCTAGATTCCAAGACCAGATCCCTCACCGGTTTGTGGGTATTGTTATGGAATGTGAGTGTTCAAAAGCGTTTTTTGTCTCTGTGAATGATGACCTTTATCAAAGTACTGCTATTGCCTCTAACCAAAATATCATCAACATCAACCGAAACAATCACAATATCCGTCTCACGCCAAAATATAAACAAAGTATGATCTGTGCCTGGGAAAAACCATATTGACGAAGTGTAGTGGAGAGCTTGGCAAACCAGTTACGTCGAGGCTAACACATGTCAAAAGGAGACTTCCAAAGACGACAAACTTTACCCCGGTGACTTCACTATGAGAGTAACCAGGAAGTAATTTCATATAGACATCCTCATGTAGATAACCATGAGACATTATTGACATCAAGTTGCTGAACCGCCCACCATTTGGCCACTGCAACAGATAAGAGAACAGTTCAACCATTTTTGCCACCGGAGCAAATGTATTTGTTGTACCGATCTCTTGGTGATTCCCCAAGACCACTAACCGCAAAGCAAGGCCTATCATTTCTTGACATGGCAAGATATTGTACAATCTGCGGGATGGACTTGGAGAGCGTCGCACATCTCTTTCTTGGCTGTGCTGTTTCCATGCAGAGGGCAGGATCTTCGAGCTTGGCTTAGTGTTGTGAAGCGGCTATCCACATTGGAGAGGTCTATCATTGGTGCGGAAGGATTGCGTGGGGGGGATCTTCAGGTGGAAAGCGTTGAGGTTGTCCTTTGTGTGTGTTGTTTAGTATATTTGGAATACCCGTGATGAGGTTTATTTTGATCATCGTTCTATTGTTTTAAGCAAATATTGTTCGCAAAATTAAGCTCATGGACTCATGGTTTATAAAGTGATGTATAAGCTTTTTTCTGATTAACTTTTGACCTCGGCTTTTCTTTGCCGATTGATTTTTGTCACGAGAAATGAGATTTTTTTTTGTTTTTGCAATTTTTCAATTTTAGTATCACCTATTATTCAAACTCAACCACTATTTAAACGCTCTTTTCCTTCAAAAACTGAGTGCCAAATAAAACTGGGGTTAGATCCAAACTTGGCTCGGAATAAATCAAATTCAAGCCTCATCTAGTTTTGTTTTCACTAGGATTGCAAGATTAAACCACCGCAACTTTCAAAACCCCATACCAAATGTCAACACAAGCAACGACTGCTAATCCTTTCCAACGACTGCTAAAAAAATGCAGGTTAACCCATCCAGGCCTGGAGCTTTGTCTGTGTGCATCATAAACACAACATCTCTTGCATGCTTCTCAGTAAAAGGTCGTGTTAGGTTGGCATTCTGGACAGGTGCTAATTTCTATGTACGGCCTGGTGTCATACTCATATCCCCCTGTTGTGATGTGAAAAGTTCATGGTAATCTGTGTTCAGTTTTGGCAGGCCACTTTCCCAGATACGAGGTTAATCGGGATAGTGAGGGGATTCAACTCTATCAAATTGCAAAAGATGCATATGTAGCTATCAAATAAGGCAAAAATGATACTTGCAATGCAATATCAATTCCCTATATTTTCAGTTTTAACACACTCATTTGGTAATACTTCAACCAATACCGTTCCTTTTAAACCTTGGGCTATGTGAATTAAGAGTTGTAGGGTGGACATGATATAAGAAGTTGAAAGGGTTTGAACACTAAATTTGAACAAAAATATGTAGTATCAAACCATCTAAATTAAACTTTTACGAGATGAATTGGAGTATAATCTTTACCGGACGAGTTTTTTTACTGAGCCCAAGATTAATAAAGACGGCTGCTATAATTGATAGAGGCACCCCACATCCAATTTTTCTAAAACCTGAAAAATAAATAGTGAAACAACAATGTAAACTAAAGAGATTCTATAAATAGTTATTTATTATAGGGGATTTTCCATATACAGTCTCCAATTCTAAGAATATAACATTCGCGTTCCTTGATATTTAAAAACTATTGCATGATCAGACCTTGGGAACTATATGTGAAAAACAATATTTGGTCAAAGGACTGGTTATGTAATGATTATAAATTTAGAATTTATGGAATTTATGGAATTATGTAGTGATTATAAAATTTAGAATATATTTGGGTCAAAAGACCTTTGGGGACTGTATATAGAAAATCCAATGTTATAAGGAACCATTTATCAAAATTTACTCTAAATTAAGGTATGCTTGCATCTTGCCCTTCTCCTGTCCCATTCTAAGTGAGACTTAACTAATTTGTTTATATGGTTTTGTGGGAAATGAATTCAGATTTTTTTTAATTTTATGTTATATTTCATGATAATCCTATAATCATACTCACATTCTATCCAACAACCATGTGTATATGTATAGTGTACACTCACTGTGAATTAGTGAATAATTTCTTTCTTGATTAGTGAACATATAACTGTGTAAGATAATGCAATGGTAAGCAATTCATTTGTGGTTACGGAATCATAGGTTCCATTTAGAAGAACAATTTCTTTCTAATTAGTGAACATATAAGTTTTCATTCAAATATGTGTCTAATATTTTTATACATACGGTAGATCTACTCCTAGCAATACACTTTGACTGGACATGTGAATTAAGAAAATTATATAGTTTGACACCAAAATGCATCCCAAATCAACTTCTAGATATGCTCTTGCATAAGCCCACGTCGCCCAAGGTTATAGCCCTCTCCCGAGGTCGGTTCCAACCACCTTGCTAGTCAATTAAGCAATCGTCTCCTGAGGCACCACCAAAAGTCCTCGCCTCTCGAGACACCCACCAAAGTCCTCGTCTCTCCAAGTCGGTCATAACCACCTCGCGAGGCACCAAAGCCCTTGTCTCCCGAGACACTTAAGCCTTTGTCTCTAGAAGTACCCAAAAGCCTCATCCAACATGCACCCTCTATGTCCTCTTCCGTAGAGGCACCCCTAATATTTTCTAGAGTGACATCAAAAACCTCTCTCAGGAGATACTTGAGTCCCCTCTGCACGAGGCTTTAGAAACTTCCTCCCGTAAGCATTCTGAAATCTTTCCCATAAGAAACTAAGGATATTTACGTGAAGTCTCAAAAGACCTTTCCAGAGACTCTTAAGTTCTCCCCAAAAGGTGACGAGGTTGACTTCTCGAGGTGCCTCCAATCCCTCCTCGAAGGCATACAAAACCTCATGAGCCAAGTCCATTGTACTCGCGCAATTGAGCTCCCCAATTTCTAGCAAGTGGGCTCCATGTTTCCCCTCATCATCGGTGCACCCCAAGCAGGAACACGGCAGTCCCATTAGGGTGGTCGGCCAGGCCGAGCCCATGGTTATATCTCTACTTGTTTTTTTTTCTTATTTTTCAGGTCAACATATCTTATTTTCAGGTCGACAGGATGTATCTACAATATATTCAAAGCATCAACAGAGCAAGACGATCAAAGGGGCACCGTCAAAGCGGAGCATAGGTGTTACTCCCTTTCACCTTGAAGTTCCTTGTCTCAGGGAGTGAGGAACTCCAGGTCAGATGATATTTTTTTGGCAAGAGCTCTCCGCCATTGCATCATGGCAAGCGCCACTTGACTACATACAGTGAGTTTGGGGGACTTCGCGAAGTCTGCCTCCTTGTGTGCGCTTGGTTTCCTTTGATTCACTTGAAGACCTTAGGCCCCAAAGGTGTTCTTCTTGGTTCACGTCGTGGGATGGGATGTACTTTTTTCTTGACCAAGGTTTTATACAATCCTCATGGGTTTTTCATTGACAATTTTTAACAAGGCATCCCCTCATGGGGTTGGACCAAGCGCCAAGGAGACTAAGGGGGGATCTCTGAAGATGACAAGCAGACCACCATATGCATTCACATGCATTCCCTGAAGACCACCATTGATTTCTTTATACGCTTGTATGTTGTTAACCACACTCTGCACAGCGAGTCCACCATATGCATTCATTGCATTGTTGTTGATTGATTTGTGTTCTACTTCCACTTCGCCTCATTCCTCTCGGCTCGAGAAGTGGGGGGGACTCATGATGGATATACTTGACCCGAACCTGCACTCTTTGGTCTTATCTCATTGGCCTGCCCAGTTCATAAGTAAGATCGTCGGATGGATGTGTTTAGATATTTGTTGGATAGTGCGTGTTGGGTTGTGCCCCAACACCGTAGCCCCTTTGGGCCCGGCCCACGTTACTGATGTATGTGTGTCTAATTTTTTACTCTTCATTTCTCTCACTTTACTTTCTCTCTAAACTAGGTTCATATAATCCTACATGGAGTCTAGATCTATGGACCCCTAGATCAATGATTCTATCCGTTCTAGCCTTGTTGTCTAGTTTGGAAAATACATCAAACGTAATTGTCAAGGAACCAACTCAACCAAAAGCTCAAGATTGTGGTTGTGGCCCAGGAACAGTTATTTATATTCCAACACGCCCCCTCACGTGTAGGCGTAATCTTTTTCGAGCCTTGCACGTGAAATCTTAATTTTTTTAAACTGGGTGGCGCTGAGTTTCGAACCCGTGACCTCTTAGTCAACGAGGCTCCGATACTATGTAAAGGAACCAATTCAACCAAAAGCTCAAGCTTGTGGTTGTGGCCCAGGAACAGTTACTTATATTCTGACACGCTCCCTCACGTGCAGACGTAGTCTTTTTCGAGCCTTGCACGTGAAACCTTAAATTTTTTAATGGGTGGTGCTGAGTTTCGAACCCGTGACCTCTTAGTCAACGAGGCTCTGATACCATGTCAAGGAACCAAGTCAACCAAAAGCTCAAGCTTGTGGTTGTGGCCCAGGAACAGTTATTTATATTCCAACAGTAATGAATGAATGTTAAATAACCAAAACGGGAAAAGAAATGTACCAAAAATATATCTTGAAATTCATTTGTCTTTTTACTTAATCCCTAAGGATTACTCCTTGTGTCCAAATTTAGTACTACTAAAATTCATCTTGAGTAATTGAAATTTATCTTTTTTTTCGATGAACTAATTGAGCAATCAAAATATGTATGTGTACTCTAAAATAACCGAAAAGGTAATACTAGTAAAAAATCAAAACCTTGATATGTTTCCCATGGATAAATGATTCCATCCCGGTTGATATCAAAAAATATTACATGTTTTTGCAGAGGAGTAAGCTCACGAGATTCTCCAGTTCCTGAAATGCCAACAATTGTTCTTTTTTTAACATTAAAATCATCATTTCTTGTATCAATAACAGTATACTCTCAATGCTGGATTGCTGTCATGAAAATTATGAACGAAAATCGAAGCATACCGTCATGATAAACAGTGTTGTTGGAGGAAGAAGACGAATCTCCGGCGGCCATGGCTGCTTGCTTCAATTGTTTGGAAATTATACCTGGAACAGACGCTAATTTCTAATCTTAATTATATAGGGTACTCTGGAATACGGAGTAATGTACTGAAATGGATTATTTGATGATGGGGGGAATAACTAAAGCACCGATTCTACCAGATTTTCCGCGTTTGGCAGTTGCGGGAGCTGTTAATTTTTTATTTTATTTATTTATTTATTGACAGCAATGGGCGCTGTTAATTGATCCTATATGCGTTGGAGAATGTGTCGCGTTCCTCTCATTTAAAGCAAAGTGCTTGCGTATGTATTTGGAGCATCCAAGCGCGGAAAAAGACAGATGTGCCTTACTTCGGATAAACACCAACCTGAACCTTTGAGTATTGAGCATTTTTGGTAATTTATATTGATATTTTAAATTGTTAAACTCCCTTTTTAAGGCATCCCAATTCCCAATGCGAGTCTTGACATTCCTTCAAACTCCACTACGTGGATGCTTAGATTATTTCGTACTTTGTCACGTTAACATTTCATTATTTTTTGAGTAATGCTAGAGTCACAAACTACTGGGAAATAAATTACACAAGCTTGCTATTTTTGTACTTTTCCAATTGAATAAAGTGATGTTAAATGCTTACAAAATGAAAATTGAGATACATAAATAGCAAGTTTGTGTAATTTGTATCCCAGTAGTTTGTGACTCTAGTATATGTAATCAGTTATCTAATAAATAATTGTGTTATACACTAATCTTCTACCAATTTTATTTATAAATATAATTAATTATTAAGAAATCAACAACATAAGATTATATAAAATTATATAAAATCAACACATATAAAATACATACAATAAAATGAGTGCATTTCATTAAAATCTTTTAAGTAAAGATACATAAAATATAAATTGCATAAAATAAAATTAAAAGCACAATAGACATAATTAAAATGTATAATCACTCCATTTTGGTTGATCCTTAAGAGGATGCCAAAATAAAAAATTCCTAAGAGAATGCCAAACATAAAAAAAATTAAATAAAAAAATACATAAAATAAAAATAAAAGCATAACAAAAGAAAATTATATAAGTAGACATAATTGATGATTGGGTTTTTTTCAATTGGGGAGGATTAGCTTTTCTATCACAAAATGATTGAAACTAATTTTTATTTTCAAAAAACAATTGTTATTGATTATACGTGCCTATTTTTTATTAGATGGGTTGAATTTCGAGTTTTGAGAGTAAATTTGAGAATTCAAATATTTTCTTTTAGATTCTTCTTATTTTCTATGCATCTCAATGGTAAAATCTTAAAAAGAGAGTCTCAAGACTTTCAAACTCTCCTTAGATCCTCATTGGGATGTTCTTAGAGGCTTAGACTATCCACAATGCTGGTGAAGATTTAGATATTTTAGAGTAATACTCCGCATAATAATTGCCATATACTCAATCTTAAATGGCTTCAACATCTTGCAATGGAAAATTGTGTTTGGGATTGTATATGAATTGATTATTGAGTAATACTCCCTCCGTCCACAAATAAACTTTACCTTGCGCGTTACGATGTTTGACTGAAGTTATTTTCAAATCATTTTATATGAAAAATGGTGTAGAATTTAAAAATAAAAATTACATATTAAAAAACTATATCAAAAGATCTACAAAACTAGAGGTGACATGACTATATTATTTTATCAAATGGGTGACGAAAATAGGCCAACAAAGTGAATAAAGTTTGACCCTATGAATAGTGAACATAAAGTTTATTTGTGGACGGAGGGAGTATTTAAATGCAATCCAAATGAAGAAATGGGACGCACGTGGTCACGTGGCTGCCAAATAAACGAAGCAAAAGACTTATATAGTACCATTCCAAATAAAACAATCTTTTGATAACCGGACCAGACGTTAACCTGGACGAAGTACTGAGTCAAGAGTTGATTAATCGAATCAGTCAAACCAAGGGTCAACAACCTGGCCAGACGATGTTTATAATAATACTCCGTATTATTTTATATTATATACTAGCAGATAACACACTTCTTGTGTGTTTGCTCACGCATGTTAAGAAATGCTTCTATTTCTTATAGATATCCTAAGATACATTGTTCAAGTGAACATGAGCTTACCTACAACTAACACGTACGTAGTATATTATTTCACAAAAAGGGTGAGGGGTTCAGTATTTTACATGATTATAGTTATACAACTTATGTGGCAAAAAAATTAAGTGAACATGAGTTTACAAATATTTACAGGCAATTAAGGCTAAAATTTATTTGACAAAATCTGGAAATGACCTGCATAGGGGTTAGTAGTGATGTGTTATCAGGTCATTTTCATTACGGATAGTAGCTCCATTGCTGAAGCCATATGCTTTCAAATGGTTTATTTTTCTTTTCCCCTGCACATGTCAGTCATCTTGGCTTTGAGCTCTTTGTTTTCTCTAAAGATAGAAGTGCACTCTTTGTGTGTTGGTAAGAGAGTTCATGGAGGCATAATAATGAAAATATTTTATCCCCTCTTTGGTATGTGGCTGGTTGTAACTTGACAACAGCTGTGATGAGGAAGGAGTTGAGACCTTTGTTCAGAATGTCAGTGTCAATCAATTCCAATGGCGTGTTCATTTCAAGTGATCATGCTATTTTTTTAGATCTTCTGTGAAGAGGGTGAATTGTATCGTTCTCGTTTCATCGCCTATCTCTGCAAAGATTCTAAACCTGTGGTTTTTATTGTGTTAGAGTCGAGTAACACGTGAAAGCATTGTGTATATTGTAGATAATGAAAGTATTAACCTCTTTGCTATTGTTGCTTCCTTGTCTCCGCACTGCATGCAGTCAAAGGTAGTACCCTCATCGAAGTCAACTTTTCGGTTGCAAGTACTACATCCGATGTAGTATGGGATAGGTCCATGCTCTTGAAGTTGTAGTTGGCCCTCTATCTAGTATGTTTGGTCCTGGATAAATAAAAACATGATAGTACTAATAACAGAGAAGTGGGGCTGTCTAAAGCACATGACTAATTATATTTATAGAATAAGGGATTTTGAAACATGATAGCAGTAAAAAGGTATACCAGAACAAAAGAAAATGAAACAAGATAAACCCAAAAAAAGCAACCTTCATTTAGAGAAAAAGCAAAAGGTGAGATTGACCTTTTTTGCACCAAACAAGACTAAAATGTACAGAGCATATTGATGTTTTTTTAGGTATTGATGTTAAAGAAGCTACCAATGTAATCACACACATAAAAGTAGCAAAGCAATCGCATTCCAAAAGAAAAAAAACACAGTAACTATAATTGTCCTATTCTAGACAACCACTGTGATGAATAGAAGCATTAGCTAGGCAGTAAAAATAACTTATTTCTTATATCCCTAGATGAAGAATGGAATTAGATGAGGCCTACATGTGCATAATTTCAGATACAACTAAAAAAACGAAAGAGGCATCAGTTTTAGGGTTTGGTTGGGAGGTGATTAACTGATGTTTGAATCTCTCTTTTTTTGTTTAAGATATTATTATTATTAAAAGCTCGGTTACTTAAGCCATTAGACAATGGATGCTTTACTTGCTATTTATTTCTTTGAAAAGTCAATTGAATTGAGGTAAAAATAAGGTCATCAATAAACGGTTTTTAAAAAGGAAGCTCGATTGAGTGCTTACCGGGCCCTGAGAAGACGGGGAGTCTGAATAAAATCCAGGCAAAAACACTAAAGAGGAGATGTAAGCATTTTTTTATTTTGAAATGCCAACGAGTCTATCAGTCTTATGACAGTCTTCTCAGAGGGGGTGTAGGTCTAGTACTTGGCACAACCATACTAGTCTTAAGACAGTCTATGATATGAATACATAAAAGCTTAAGAGGGGAAGACTCATCGAGGTCTAAGTCTTATTCACTTACTATTATTTTGTGTTCTTTTGTTGTTCTTGGCGTGTTTACTATAAAAGGTTACACACCCTATATTGAGGGAATTAGACATGACCAGTATCCGGCGTATCTAATTATATAAATGTACAAAAGTTTAAACCATACAAATAAAATTGATTGAAAGAATGTAATCTAAGAGTAGAGAGATTTCAGTATGAACCTGATTGTATGATTCTGCCATATCAGAGATGGGTGTTTTCTGAATGTTATCCAGAGCCACAAAAAGAGTTAAAGGGTCCTTGGGTAGGAATATTCATTAGAGATCGTTATTTTAGGCAAGTAATTGGAAAAAGCAGAACTGATTATGAATTGTACATGGAAGTTAAAAAGAAGCTAGAATGGAATTATAAATCAACAAGTATAGAAGCGGAGGACCTTCAGTGGTTAAAGACGTGGGGGTGAAGTCAGCACTTCTTTTTCCTTCTGGTTCTTTGAGAACTTTTCTAGATTTAGATGTCCACAAATTGTTAAATATATTTTAACAAAATATTCTATTGTAGAGATTTTACTCATCAATATACCATGTCCTGAAGTTTATGTGAACTTGTTAATTTTGATCCTTCACAACCCTTGGTATTGAACATGTGTTGGAAGTAAAAAAACTTCAGGCATTAGTGCATTTTCAAAGGTTGATCTCTATTTTGAGATATTCAATTCGTATAAATTTTTAAAATTTGCACCTTATGTCCTTTGCCTATTGATTGTTGTTTTCTATTTTCCTAAGGCTTGTCGGGGAAAGAAGAGAGATATTTCATTTTATTTTCCTATGGCTCTAATTCTTATTGAATAGAAATTAAGCAGCAGAGACATAACAAAGTTAAAATCCAGTACTCTGCTTGCATACACGTTCAAATATTGAGCATGTGAACAAATTTTAAATCGACCTCAATGAATTGCTAAATGCAAACCTTTTGCATGCATATAGGTTTAGAAATTGAACATGTGAACATAAGAAAATAGCAGAGAGAGATATAAACAGAACTGAACACTTTCAATTAGAGCGATTATCAATTCCTAGATGCAAGAACAAAACCTAATTTTACATAATATTTGAGCGTAAAAAAGAAATTAAGCAGCAGAGACATGGTGGTTTACAAAGGTATGATTTTTTCATAGAAAAAAAAAAAGAAAAGCGGAGAAGAAAAGAAGAGAAAGGAGACGACAAGAAGAGACACAAAAGAAGGAGAAGAAGAGACAAGTATTACCTGGATGAATCGCAGTAGATATACAGGAAAAAGTGGCGGAAATTAACACTTATGTAATCACTGTGACGGTAGTGGGCGGGTTTTGTCGTGGGTGGTTGACGGTGCAGAGGTAGAGACGGAAAAATAAACTTTGAGGTAGAGGTGGAGATGTTGTTTCTCGGCATTAGAGTGACGGAAAAAATGCTATGTAACGGCAGCAAACGTCATAGGCGCTTATAGTTAGATTAGACCTGGCAAAACAGAACCAGAACCGATTACTCGAACCGAATTATCCGAAACCGAAATCGAAATAATCCGAAAAATGAAGATCTGATCTATAACCGAAAACCCGAAGTGATCCGAATCGAACCAAAACCGAACTTAATAATTCATATTCGATTTAAATCTGAAACCGATTAGATCCGGAACCGATAATATCCGGGCCAATTAAACCCGAAACCGATTATATCCGAAACCGATAATACCCAAAACCGATAAAACTAGAAATCGATTAGATTCGAAAACGATAATATCCAAACCCGATTAGAACTAAAACCGATAAATTCGGAACTCTGTTTGCCTTTCAATAAGCATATTATATTTTTAAATTTTTACTTTTATTTTACCATTTGAACTAGTTACATTACTTGCTCATTCCCTCATAAAATGGATTATCATCTTTAAAAAAATTACAAAATGTCATGCCTTAAATTTATTATATTTAGAAATTCAAGATAAGTTATACATATAAAATTTTGGATGAATAAAGTAAGCCAACTATTTTGTTATTAACAAAATTAAAGGGAATAAAATATTTGAAAAACAAGGTGAAGCATCAATTGAAAAAAATTAGGTCTAAGAGTTGAAGGTGAATGGAAATTGAGAAATGAGTTGAACGGTGACATAAGAAAATTGATAAGATTAAGCAGGGAAAATGAAAAGGAATGGGTGAGATTTTGAGCATAAGAAAATTGATAAAAAATTAAGTCTTTCATTAGATATTATATGAAAAATACGTACAGTACTAATTTCAGTCTTAAGTTACAAAATCTAATTAAAACAGTCTTATTTTGATAAAAAAAACTTCCTCCATCTTAGAAAGAACGCTACATAACGCAAAACAAAGCAAAAATTTTAAGTTTTTAAAATTTATTTTATTTAAAGATTGGTATAGAAATTAAAAAAAATGTCTACATAATTAAAAATATACGTAAAAAATTTTACAAAATAAGATGTTATAAGAATAATAGTTTATTTTATCAAATCATAAATGATAACGCACAAACAAATAAAATTTCCATAAATTTAAATAATGAAGTGTGATATTCTTGTTGGGGCAAAACGATTATATGATGAATTATATGGAATAACTAGATTTTATCCTAATTTCATCCAATTACAATAAGTTTTATTGGTTTGGGAGTTAATTTGATTCGTTTCAAACCAATTCACTTAATATTAGTCAATAACATTTGATGTTAGTGTTAGCATTTTGAAAAGACACTCCACGGGTAGCATTTAGTGTTATCATTTTCAAATTTGATCTACATCATTACATTTAGGTGTAAAATTAATTATATTTGACTCTATTAAATTGAATTTTATCTAATTTCAACCAAATACACTCAAATAATTTATAAATTTTGCACTCGATTGAATAAAATTCACTTAATTTCACCCAATTTCACTCAATTTTTACCAAATTGTATTCAATTGGAACGTAACACTATTTAAATTTATCTTTTATCTTTTCATTTATAAACATAAATATATTAGTATATGTGAGAAAAATTTGATATATCAAAATTAAATTTTAAAATCAATTTAATTATATTAAATTTATATCATAATTAAATATATACTTTTTCATAATTTGTAGTCGAAATTTGTAAAATATGACTAAAAAGTCAAAAAAGGAAGATTATTTAGGGTAGATATAATATAATTAGAAACAAATATAAAATAATATGAGGTATTGAATTAATGATATATTGATAAATGTGATAAAATATAAAAAGAAACATGAATAATTAAATTTCAATTAGAAAATAATATATGTCCAAAATATATTTGATCCGAAACCAAAATATATCTGAATCGAACTAGATCCGAAACCGAAATATATTCGATTCAAATTAAATCTGAACCGAAATGTATCCGAACCGATTTATAACCGAACCGTATTTGAACCTACTCGAAACCGAACCGAACCAAAAAATATATAGAACCAAATCAAATCCAAACCGAAATTAAACCGATCTGATCCGAATCGAACCGAACCGATTATAACATATATCCGAACCGAAAAAATCCAACCTGAAACCGATCCGTTAGACCCGATTGCTTTTCATCTAGTTTTTAATATCACAATGCATATACTATTTTACACCTTTTATTTTTTATTGTATTATTTTTATTATTATTAAAAATAAAGAATGAATGTCTAATAAATACCTAAATAATAAGGTGATACTCATATCTTCAAAAAATAAAGATTAGATAATGTATTCTTATATACAATTGACATTTTAAACTTTATATTTAGTTGAATAAATTGGTTGAAACAATAAAAATGTAGGATATTAAACTATAATTATTGAATATTAGTTGATTTTTAAAAATAACCATAATTTTTCAGGTATAAAAACGGAATATATTTATTTTTGAATAAAATTTAAATAATTCTAAATTTTTTTGAGCTATTTTAAAAATTTATAAAGTGAATAAGATACAAATGCGCACATGCAAAAAAAATACAGATTGTGGCCTATAATTTGTTTTGTATGCCACATGTGTAAAACAGTAAAAATATAATATTGAAAAGTGATAGGAATGATGGTCTTTGGGTTCGATTCCCATCTATGATTTCAATTTTGAAATAATAAAATAAAATTTAATAGAAAGTAGGTTTTAGCCGGAACCCGTGAACCGGCCGGATCGACCCGGATCATAGATTACCGGTTCTTCGGGTCCGACGGGTTTGGACGGGTCAATTGAATAGCGGGTTTATCCATCGAACCGGACCAGATTCGTGTCGGACCAGCTTTCCAAAACACTAAAATAGAATGGGAGCTCATTAGTGTAATCCATCTCTCTCAATTCTTCATTTCTCTCTCCTACTTTATAACTTTTTTTTATGTATTTTAGGATCTCTCCACCCTTCATTGGGGACCTACTTTGAAGCATGATTTATGCCATCTGAAATATTAGTGGATGTACAATTATGTTTTGGGTGTGCAATGAAGCTTAAGCAAAGATGTGAATGACATCGATAGAATTTATCTCTTCTTTAATGAGGTATAATATCTTAGGGCCCACTGATTGATGTGACTTGGGAAGTGCATGGCCATGCCCAAATAAATATGTCATTTGAATCCCACAAGTCAATCAAAGAATCAGTAAACCACTGATTTAACTCTAACAAGGTGACACACCCCATACCTTGTGTTAAATCAAGATATTAGTGATAAAGGGATAAGGGTAATACAAATAGGATGTGTCGTTGAAGGAATTGTTCCAAGAGCTTTATATCTATAATTTGGGGGTGATAATGTGTTCCTAGATACCGCTTATTACTTGTAGTATTTAATCAATACTATGGCTAATTTTATAGGTATTATAATAGGGTCACACACATAGAACATACGAAAGTGTAAAATATTTAAGTGGAATAAAGTTGTATTTTATATATATATATATATTGTGTATATTAAATTGTGTGATAATATGATTAAATACACAAACATATATATAAATAAATATTTATATTTGGACATTTTATTTATGTGATAATTAAGTTTGCCAAATATAATTAATAATATATATATATATATATATATATATATATATATATATATATATTCGGATATATATATATATATATATATATATATATATATGAATAATAAATTGTTTATTATTTTATTATTATTATTGAGGTGCAAAATATATATTTAATATTTGGACATTTTAATTATATGATAATTAAGTTTGTCAAATATTATTTAAGGAAAAAAACCTAACATAATTATATATATGTGTGTGTGTGTGTGTGTGTGTGTGTGTGTGTGTGTAATAAATGTTATATTATTTATTTTGTGTTAATTATATGCTAATTAAAGTTGACAAAATAATTTGGAAGCTTCCTTAAAAGTAGTGATTTCAAAATTCCCTAAGTGGAATAGGAATGAGATTTGATTTCTTTCCTAAATATTAAAAAGGTACATTCTTATTAGGAATAGGAATGGGGATTATGCTCCTTATAAATAGGATATCATCCCACCACTTTTTACCACTAGTATTTTCGGCCCCTCTCCTAATTTTAAGAGACAAAATTTTGTTTTTTTCTCTTAATATTTTACACCAAGTATTTTATACTTCCTCCGTCCCCCAAAGATCTTCCCAATAGCCCTTTTTCTTTGTCCACAATAGATCTTCTCATTTCATTTTTTAACAATTAAAATACCACAACTACCCCCACTTGCTTTATTTATTACACCTCACCCATCTCATTTAATACACTCCACCCATTTTTCATTAAGGGTATTATGGTAAACTTTCACCTTTTTTCAACTCTCCTTAAAAACCACCAAAAGTCAAAATGAGAACATCTTAGGGGGACAGAGGGAGTATTTTAGAAATATTCTAGAGAAAAATTACTAGCATAATTTTCTCTAGAACACTCTTCATTGTTCGTGTGTCTCAACTGGAGGTCATATACTTTTGTGGCTAGCTCTTGGAGTAATCCATCAACCTACACATATCGTTGCTTGCTCTCCAAGAAAGGTATATTTCTTAACAATAACTTATAATAATCATAAGAGGTCCTGGGTGGATCTACGTTTGGACCAAAATTTTTATATTTCCGCTTCCCTATCCAAGCGTAGAACCCAAGAGATGGAAGAGCTGAAGCTAGGATTAGTGGTGGTCGTGAAGAGATGGTGGTGGAGCAATGGTGAAAGTAGCTGGAAAAGATGGTCGATGCAAGAGGCAGTGGTGGGGCTGGCAGCGACAGAAGGGCAACGGTCCGATAAAAATGAACAAAAGTCAAAATGGGTACTTTAATACCTGACAAGGGAGTATCGTTTAAGTCCCTAAAATAATTTTCTATGTGGTCTTCCTTGTTTGGGCTATTGGTGGAGTTATGTTCTATTTTATCATTGTTTTGTTGCATTGAAAATTGTTCTGATTTGGTGCGTCACTTGGTTTATATTTTATCTTTTCAAACTTTATTTACAATCCCCCCTATCTTTTAGCTTTAGTTAGTTAGTAGTTTTACTTAGTTTTTTTATTTAATAAAAGTGACAAAAAGCATATTAATTTTTAGCATTTAAAAAGTATTTTTTCTCATGGGACCGACCCATACTTATTCTACCTACGAGTTTAATAAAAATTATTTTCAAAAGATAAATTTTAAGTTAAGGAAAATGATAAATTAATTTTGAGGTGCTACAACATGCCTAACATTCATTTCTCCCCCAAGTATTTTTACTTTAAAGTTAAAAATTTTATACAATGTTTTATTATCCTTTTAAGTAACAATTTTTTCTCATTTTATATCGGAATTAGGGATTTCCTAAAACGCACATGGCATTTGGGGTAGGTTAGGGTCACTACCCAATTCTACAGCTTTTGGTGTAGGATAGATAAATTTATAAATCTTGCACTCTCTACGTTTTAATAAAAAATTTACTCCGCTTTAAATATATATTGCGCGTGTGTTTTAGGATTTTATATTAGCACAAAAATTATTTTTGTTTTCTTTGGTGAGCTGCTACCATATTTACTAGGCAAAAGAAAAATTCTCACTTTGCATCTTTTATAGATATCTCTATTGGCATAGAGGAGCAAGATAATGCTGATTTTAGAACCTGAAATATTTTGGCCTGATGCTATTTGTTTAGGATGTGCACAACTTGGGGTTGACTCATTTTGTTTGGTATTGAGTTCATCTAACTTTACACAGCATCTCAACTGCTTGGTTATGCTCCAATGAAGCTTTCTCGCCATCGCACACCGCCTCCTGCAGTTCACTAAGTGATCTGCCCAGGAACGATTGCGACTTTTCAGTTCCTCTTCCACTTTCTTCTACGTAGATGTCAAGGATTTTACCACCTTCTTCTTCTTTTCTGTTATTGTTGCTGCTTGAAATTGAGCATCTTTCTTCGTCTGTTCCCCCCTATTGTCCAAAAATCTCTTGCTGGCCTTCCACATACTTTAGATATATCTCCCTGGTCCCCAGAGAACTTAGTTCAATATTTTGTATATCAACAAGAATTCAATAAAGAATATGAAACCATAGGATCACAAAAGCAATAATATATACATTTAGAGAACCACAGATGGACATCTTAGACAATGCATCAGGGGGTGTGGCCTTCATCATCTATACATCCCATTGGGGGCAACTCTCTACAGAAATTGAGAATGACATTTTCTCCCAGCAGTAATGATGCATTTTCCCCAAAGCTTAGCTCCCGATCAATGCTGGACTTAGACAAGCGGCGATATTTTTGTTTCCTCTAAACTTCGGAAGGACCCTTTGCCAAGGGTGTTGGAATTTTTAGTTAAATTGGACATTTTTCGGACATAAATTTGGTAGGGTCCATAAAATTATTTTCCGAAATAATTATGGACGTTTAATCTCGTAAGTGAGATAAGTGTTTCGACATATTACCCGCCAAAAATGGTGCTTGGGTGAATGAGAAATTAATTCACAAAGTCGAACACGTGGAAGAGTAAAAACCCTTGTCCCACACCGGATCTTGAACCTTTCGTATTTCCATATTTAAACTTAAGCATTTAATTGAGCTTATGAAAGGAACAAGAAATGACTTCCTCGCGCGCCGCCACTGCCGCCGTCTGTCCGGCTTGGCACAACACGTGCGTGCGCGCGTGTCAGGGCGGGGCGGGATTAATGAGCATGCATGCACTTACGAACGAAGAGTCACTCGACTCTTTGTAATCTCCGTCTGGTCCAGCGAAGAGCCAACTCCTCTCCAATAAAAGGAGGGCTTGGGTGCAGGGAAGATTACACTTGAATAACGTCTCTGATTTACGAAAGCTTTCCAACTATCTCCCATTTTCCGATCGTCTTCTCCGGTAGTAACTTCCGTCGTTATCATTCACCGGTGCACCGCTCTACCGCTCTAGACTCTGCACGCTGCGGTTTTATCTTGGGAGGAGATTGCCCACGTTTTCTAGTGCGGGAGGTGGGCAATAGTACCTTAAGGAAAGTTCCGGCGACTCCGCTTTTCTTACCTCTGTTCGAGAAACTGCTCCGGCGACACCCTACCATCCGACGTGTCTGCTCGACGATCAAGGAACGTGCTGCCCAGTCTGTTCGTGTTCTTTCCGCTGCCATTTGTGTTCCCGCTTCCGTTACATTCCTTTCGAGCTTCCCGAAGATTCCAACTTTGTTTTATTTCTGTTGTAAATTCTGAGCGTTTTATAAGTTCAGATTATTTTTATTTTATTCCCGCTATAATCTTCAACAATCTTAAGGTACTATTGTCATGGAGTTCGGATTCGGCATCGTGGGTTCCTCCGGCAACGGGATAAGTTCTGAAGCTCCGGTAGAAACCTCTTCAGTTGCCATGGTTGTGCCGTCCTCATTGCTTCCCTTCGAGTCGAGTGTGGGGGCCGCCACCATGACATCCTTCTCGATGCCGAGCTCGATCTTCGGGTCGGCTCCTCGACCCATTCCCGGGATCGAAACCACGGGGGGTTACACTGTTGGTAACACGAACCCGTTCCTCGGACCGACTCTGACTTCGGCCGCAACGGTTAACTTCAGACCGAACGCACCTTTCAACGCACTGGTCAATCTATTCGTTGGACCTCACTGGGCGTCCAATGGACCTTTCCTCCATACGCCCAATCCAGTTGGGCCTATTTAAGTGCCCGCAAGTACGGTTCAAAGGCCACCGAAGTTCAATGGCACGAACTTCAAAATGTGGCAACAAAAGATGACATTCTTTTTTTACCGTCCTGGGATTTGCTGAGAACATATAGCAAGATCCTCCCCAGCCGAACGACGGCAACGACCCCCTCGTGGCGATGGTGAACCAAGCATTGTACCATAATAACTATCTCACCATCAACTACATCCTCGAAGGGTTGGCCGAGACGTTGTACCCTGTCTACGCCGGTGCAAAGCTTGCCAAGGAGCTTTGAAGCAGCTTGAACAAGAAGTATCAAGCTGAAGATGCCGGCACGAAGAAGTTCATCGTCGGGAAGATGCTGGACTACAAGATGGTTGACAACAAATCTGTTGTCGCCCAGGCTGAGGAGCTTACAGTAATCTTCAATAAATGCAATGAAGATAAAGTAGGCGTCAGCAAGGCCTTTTTAGTGGCGGCCATCATTCACAAACTTCCACACTCTTGGGAAGACTTCCAAGCCGATCTCAAGCTCAAGATAATTGAGATGAACCTGGAGCAACTGCTCACGCGGTTGAGAATCCGAGAGGAAGGGCTTGCGAGAAGAGGTGGTGGGGCAAAGGTGAATGTGGTAGAGCATCCTTCGGGCTCTTCACATGGAGGAAAGGACAAAAAGAAAATAGGTCCTAAAGGTGGTCTTTCTAAATTTGCAGGGAAGTGCTACAATTGTGGCATTACCGGCCATCGTTCCTCCGACTGTAGGAAAAAGAAGCCACAAAAGAACAAGAAGAAAACCACTGAAGCCATGGGTGCAGAGCTCGAAAATTTGGACCTCTGCGTAGTTGTCACCGAGGTGAATCTTGTCGGGTCAAATCCGAGGGAATGGGTTGTGGAAACAGGAGCCACACGCCATATTTGCCCCAATAAGAGCATGTTTCACGAATTCGAAGAGACCACCGGTGACAAGGTCTGGATGGGCAACTCGGCCCAATCAGAGGTACAAGGGGTTGGTAAGATTAAGCTTAAAATGACCTCCGGAAAAGAGCTAACACTTAATGACGTGCTCTATGTGCCAGACATTCGCAAGAATTTAGTGTCGGGGTCATTGCTGATCAAACACGGCTTTCGGATGGTGTTTGAATCAGATAAGCTAATCTTGTCCAAGAAAGGGATTTTTATAGGAAAAGGTTATATTTCCGATGGGCTTGTAAAGCTAAATGTAATGACTGTTCTTCAAAAGATCAATAAAAATCCCGTTGCTAGGACATGTTAGACTAGGACATGTTAATTATGCATGATAGACTAGGACATGTTAATTATGCATCTCTCCGGAAATTAATTAACATGGAACACATACCAAAGTTTAGTATTGACTTAACTCAGAAGTGCGAAACTTGTGTTGAGGCAAAGTCAACTCTGTAACACCCTAATCCGTCCAGGTCTGCAGCCCCTTTCGGACTAACGTATTAATTTGGAAATCATAAAAAAATTTAAAACATTTCAACACTTTTATTCATCATAAATATTATTCAATACATAACTGTAGAAAAATACATAGTGTGTAATAATAGTGTGGAAGCGATTTAAACCATGTTTAATAACAACGCAATTATTCATTTTAAAATCACAAATTCCACCACGACAGTCTCGCCCCTTCCGCTGCCAGGAACATGCAAATCATTCATTTTTCCTACCTGCGTGTAGCAAATAAAACACACTACACGCTCAGCGGGGAAGCTGAGTAAGCATATCTAAAGCATCAAACATCCACATAAATTGAATCTCAATTCACAAACAACCATTTGATATCATGCACACAATGTATAATTCATTCATGATATTCTCAATATTTTTATTTCAATATCTCAACATTCAACGTTCATATTCAATATTTAATATTCAACAATATCCTTAAACTATGCTTAGTCTAAGGCCAATTCCATACTTAAACTGATTCTAGTTCAAGATATTCTAATCCTTAAGCTAGGCCTAGTTTAAGATATATTTTTAAAAAGAGTTTTCAAATCTTAAACTTACCTTCGCTTAAGGTCGACCAAAAACCGACAGCGTAGTGTTCATTGTTGGGTTGGGTGGTACCCCCAAACGAATAGGTACTCAAGTTTGGTTCTTGGATCCCGTACGTACGTTTTAACCCTAGCCACCGGGAATCATACCCGCAAGGCCTAACTTAAATAGGTATATCTTAGAGTTCTTCTAGACACCTTTCAACATCAATTTCATTATGGGTATATCATAGAGTTTGTTCTAGATAACCTTAACAATACATTCTCATTATGATTATCAATATATCCATTTTTAATTATGATTAAGTCATCAATAATCATTCTAATCAGTAAGTTTATCATTCATAATTATCCATAATAATTATTCACCATAATGATCATTCAACATAACATTTAATAACAATTAGCGGCCTAGTCTCGAGTGTTAACACCCGAACTTACCGTCATGCATCACATAATGTTTTAATTTGTTAAAAACATAATTTTCATTATGAAAAATCATTTTTATAATGATCATAATCAATTGGTATTAAAAATAGGATTTTAGAGCATATTTTCAGTAATATTTTCAGAACAGGACCTGGACTTGAGGAAAATCAATTTTTATTTTTAAAATAATCAATTAATACCTAAAAATCGATTTTTATATTTAAAATAATCCATTAATAGATAAAAATCAATTTTTATATTATAAATAATCAATTAATTGCTAAAAATCGATTTTTATATTTTATATAATCAATTAATTGCTAAAAAAAGATTTTTATATTTTAAATAATCAACTAATTTCTAAAAATCGATTTTTATATTTTAAATAATCAATTAATTGCTAAAAATCGATTTTTAGTTTTAAAATAATCGATTAATACTTTTTAAATCGATTTTTATATTTAAAATAATCGATTATATACTGAATACGAACATCCTCATCTGGACATAATTCTAATCGATTCTTATGAAGTAATTAATCGATTTTCGGCTCGTTTCATCATCTTCTTCCTCTGGTCAGTTTCGAGTATTATCAATTTTAATCACCAAACTTCAATTAAATTATTTAGAAAATGTTCTCCCAGGTTCATAGATCATTTTAAAATCATTAAAACATATTTTTAACATCAAATTCAAGGTTTATGATTCTTGGTTTTTCAAACATGTCAAACACAAAACTTAACCAAACGACTATTTATGAACGTAAAAACAACCTACATTAACTTTCTACTCTTTAGATATATATATGGGCTTACCTCGAAGCTTAATGGGGGTTTTGATGATATTCCGGCGAGGTTTGTGGCTAGCTCCGGCGACCTCACACCAAATAGACAGCACAATTGAACTCTCTACTTCACCATGAACACAATGGTACTATTTCTAAGGAGATTGGTGAAGAAATGAGAAGAATGGAGTTACTTATATTGCAAGAGGAAGACACTACGTCAAAAACAGATGCTGACAACTGTTTTTTTAGTAGTCTCTCGGTGCTGATTTCAGTAGTCTTCCGAGCAGCTGTCTGATATATTTACAGACTATTGTTTAAAAAAAATTGTGTAAAATGGTTGACGACACCTGTTTTGTAGTGTTTTAGAGTACCACCTTTTAGTGTTGTCCTTGTATGAGTAAGACATTTGTTCTTTAGAGTTAAAGAGAACTGTAATTTTTTGTTGTCTATCTATAATGAATACTAGTGTTGTTTTTTACTTCAGACTCCTAATTCTTGGTGTTGTCATTCAACAATATAGACATCTACTTTAAAAAGTAATTGAAAGATATATCAAACAGCTGCTCAGAAGACTACTAAACAAAAATAGCATCAGACAACTGTTATCTTTTGTTGTATTTCTAAAATATGGACTACTAACATTATTCTTATTCAAACTATTGTTAGTTTTAGTTGCATATTGATTATTAACACAACGGTGTTTTGTAGTTTTCCTTGAAGTATTCAAACTATCTTTTATGACAGTAGTTAAATTGTTTATTAGACAGCTACTCTAAAGATTACTAAAGAAATTTGCTTTAGACAACTATTATTTCACGTTGTATTTTAAAAATATGAACTACTATTTTTGTAGTATTTCAAACAACTGTTTGTTTTGATTGTCTAAATGTTATCAACACTACGGGTTTGTGTAGTTGTACATACACTTTTCAAACTATTCATTTGAATGGTAGTAGAATTTTTTATTAGACATCTGTAATCTTGTGTTGATTACTAGATAAATATAAAGTCAAAAAATACAATATATCGAACAATATATAAATTCATACATTTAAAATATTATTAATATGGAATAATTTCATATTTACATCATCTTCCTAACAATTTAAATATTTTACATGCCTACCTCTTCAATCCATCTATTCCTATGATACATGTTGTTGCACCTACAGAGAAACAAGGTTGTAAATTGTGGAATCTTCAGGCTGGCCGGATATTTTCTGCATCAACTGTGTGCAGTGGCAATGAAGTACCTCCCATGTCAAGCATAAATGAGCTACATAAGCTGTTTCAAAACATATTAACTAGTTCTGTAATCCTTATTCGAATCCAAAAAATACCTTCAACACACACATCTTGGTGAAAGCTTTGTTCATTACTTTTTCCCAAGTTCGTGCTATAATGGTTCAAGCCACCATTACAAGCTATAATGGAAGAGAAACATAGCAGAAGGTAGCACACGCCAAGTCCAGGATAGTCCTCAACAGAACAAAAACAATAACAAAGAACATGAACACGAGATAAATAATATCAAGGAATTCAAAGCTCAGATATTATTCAAATTCAGCACTTGCATAACAACAGGTAACAAGCAATTGGAACAAAGAAAGTGTACAACGGCAGTAAACACCAATGTCACAACAAAAACCAGACCCATACATGCCCAGTGGTACACACCCAGAAGCACACATGGTTCAGAGCAAGAAAAACCGTAGAATTAATCAACACTTAAAATAATCAACAAGGTTCAGAGCAAGAAAACCCATAGAATTAATCAACACTTAAAATAATCAACAAGGTTGTGGCAAGAACAACCGTAGAAGCGCATAAGTTTGTTCAAACCCCATTTCAAGGTCAACACAAACAACTCTTCAACAGACCAAACGAAACTCCATAGAATTAATCAAAGAACAAGCATGAAGAAGTACAAAAAATGTTCAATGTCCCGAGATGAACAGTGAATTCGTAATCACCAGAGATCCTCAAATCGATTGAAAAATCAATTGGATAAGGAATTCACGTTCATACCTTGAAAGGGAGCTCAAAACACTCTGAAATTCAGAGATGTAGCCTTCAAAATTGCTTGGACCAACACAAATTAACCAGAGAGGATCGGAAATGAACAAAATCTATCATGCGTTGACCTTCGAATCTTTAAAATCAAGCTCCAAAAACAGTGAAATTACCTCTTATGCGGAATCCCCTGTTGTAGGCGAAACCAGAGCTCCAAAAATCTAGAGCAACAAGCTCGGATTGACGGATTAATCGGCAAGAACAGCCCCCGCGGTACTGTTCATGTCGCGAACGAGAAACCCCCATTTAGAGCTCTTCCATTGAGAGCTCATTACGACTTCTTCTCTATTGCCATAAATGTAGTGGAGAAGAGCTCCATCGTCACCACGGCGGCGGATCTTGAGAGCAGGGAGGAGATTGACACTCTAAGAGGATTTGAGGGTGTAATTGAATGTTGAAAACAAAAAGATAAGAAAAGAGATAGAGGAATGTATTTGGACAGGTTCTCGGCAAGGAGTCAACTTTTTTAGTGGGAATCCAATTTTTTTACTTTAAATTTTTGGGTGGACTTTTTCCCACTTAAATAAAATTTCATCTCGACAATATTTTTTTGAAGGGAGTTCAATTTTTTGAGGGGAATCCAATTGTTTTGAAATTTGTTCATTTCATTCAGAACAATTTTTTTTATATACTCCCTCCGTTCACAAGTAAACTTCTTATTCACTATTCACAGAGTCAAACTTTATTCACTTTGTTGGCCTATTTTCGTCACCAATTTGATAAAATAATATAGTCATGTCACCTCTAGTTTTGTAGATCTTTTGATATAGTTTTTTAATATGTAATTTTTATTTTTAAATTTCAAATCATTTTACATATAAAATGATTCGAAAATAACTTCAGTCAAACATCTTAACGCGCAACTAGAAGTTTACTTGTGGAGGGAGGGAGTATATTCTTAAAAAACGTATTACCAAATTTTATACTTTCTCCATCCCAAAAAGATTGTCACAATTTGACTAAAACTTTTTTAGTCAAATTGTGCAACACTTTGACTATAATTTGGGGAAAAAGTATATTTAGTTATAATATAAAGTTATTAAACTTAGGTTCTTATTTTGAATTGTAGTTTTGATATATTAAATTTTACAACATATAATTATTTAAAATTATATTTAATTTGAGCTCAAAGTGTGTCATGGTTTGACCAAAAAAGTTGCCCCTGACTTATTGTATTTCAAAAAAACACAGACAGATAAGATTATACCAAATCAGATAACTGCATCTTAGTTTAACATGTTTATATGTTGTTTAGATAATATCTAATCAAACCATATCTCATCAAATAAGATTAAATCAAATCGAATCAATGTTTTTAAATATAACTACAATTAGATCAAGCAGATTAAATCTATTCCAATTAGATCTTAATTAGATAAGATAAGATGGGATAAGATAAAATCAAATCCAATCAGGGGTGATTGCTTGTATATTTCTTGCGACCCACTGCATCTCAGTTTATCATGTTTATATGTTGTTTAGATTATATCTAATTAAATTAGATTAAACCAGATCAAATTAGAAAGATATTTTTAATATAACTAGAATTAGATGTAGCCGATTAGATCTAATCAGATAAGATAAGATAAGATCAAATCAAATTCAATCACATCTTTTTGCTTGCATATTTCACGTGAGCCACTGCATCTCAATATATATAACATGTTTATATGTTGTTTAGATGATATCTAATGAAATCAGATCTCACCATATCATATTAGACTAGATCAAATTAAAAGAGTTTTTAATATAATTAATCGGACTATTTAGATCAAATTGGACAAAAACATATCTAATTGGAATAAATCAAAGTCAAATCCAATAAGATCTAATCTTCAATAAAAATCAATTTACTTGTCAAGGTTGTATCTTATTTGCCAGATATAATCTATAAATACATTACTACAGTCATATTCAAATCCAATAAGATCAGATATAATTTTCAAAAAAAACATCAAATCAAATCAAATTCAAATCTAGTAAGATCAGATCAAATATTAAAAAAATCAATTTTAATTCTATAGGTCGTGTCAATATATTTGCTTGATCTAATACTTAAATACATCATATCAGATCTAATTAGATTGAATCAAACCAAAATAGATCTGATCAGATCAAATCAAATTCAAATATATTAAGATCACATCAAATCTTCAAAATAAAATAATTTAATTATATAGGTTGTGTCTTATTTTCCTGATTTAATCTATAAATGCATAAGATCAGATCAAATTAGATTGAATTCAAATTAAATTCAAATCCAATAAGATGAGATAGATATGATCTTCAAAAAAAATAGATCTAATTCTTCTAAATACTCATATTTTTGATCGTATAAGATCTTACAAGTATTGATAACTGAACTTGTTACTCACACTGATTCAATTCCTTAGGATATTCATACTTTTGACCGTATAAGAAGGTACCGGTACTGATAACTAAACTGGTTACTTGCACAGACCCAATTCTTCTAAATACTCATATTTTTGGCCATATAAGATCTTACCGGTACTTATAATAACAAGGTAATTGCGCAGATCCAATTCTTCTAAATACATATACTTTGATTAACATGTAAAACCCCGTGGTTTTTAAAATCATATATTTTTCAATTTGGTAAAAAAATGACACATAAAAAATTATATTTAAAAACTACATCGAAAACTCTACAAAATAAGATGTGACAAGAGTATTTTATTTTATCAAATGATCAACAATCTTACATACAATTTCACTCAAATCAAATCAGACTAGATCTTAACATATTAGATCAGACAAGATTAGATCAAATAAGATATCATCAAATTACATTAAATTGTTGTTGGAAGAAACTGGAAGGACATAGAAAAAATGGCAAGTTTTTCCTCTTCCCAATTTCATTCTCCCTCTTCCCAATTATCACCAAATTCATTTTTCCTCTTCCCAATTTCATTCTCCCTCTTCCCAATTTCATTCTCCCTCTTCCCAATTATCACCAAATTCATTTTCCCTCTTCCCAATTTCATTCTCCCTCTTCCCAATTTCATTCTCCCGCTTCCTATTTTCATTTTTCCATTCAAAGAACACCACTCACTCAATAGCCCAACCATATCCAACCTTAATCGCCATCGCGCCTGTGTTGTTCAAGAGCAAAGGATTTGCCGATTCCCCAAGAGCCTTCACCATCAGTCCTAGCCATCACCAATTTGCCGAGAGCCTTCGTCATCAGTCCCACTGCCCAGCACAGACTGCCCAGTCGCCAATTCATACCCTTCGCCGTCAGTCCCACGCCATGGAAGGTACTGTTCACTCGAAGTTCTATCTCTCTGATTCTATTGAATCCGGACACTTTTGATGGCTAATCTTGTGATATGTTGAGTGGTTTGCGATACCCCTCCTTGTTTTAAAGCTTGATTTCAATTTTATTTGAATTCCCTCATGATTTGAGGATTTTTCGGATCCGTATGTACTGGATTTGGACTGCGGTTCTGTCAATTTTTGCTTGCTTTTTTTATTAACTTTGTTGTTGCGCTGGGTTTGTGAGGTTGTTTATGGTGTTTTAACAACATTTATTTGAGGGATTGAAATTTGTGGAATGACCTGCTGTTCTTGTTGATTATGAACTATGTTCTTGCCTTCGTACTGGTGTTTTTGCACTATGAACTCAGTTACTGCCTGGGTGAGGCCTTGTAGCTGTGTTCTTGAAGGAAACCAATGTGTTGATGTTCATGGTCAGGAATACTGCACTGTAAATGCTCATGTCTTTGTTCTATGCTTATTGACGGCTTTGGCCAAGGTTTTGGAGTTGAACAGTGGCTTTCTGGTGGATGGACTGATTGAAGCGTTGACAATTGTGGTCTGTTTGGAAATTGATGGGGGGAGGGAAACTTGTGGTACACCATTTCATTTTGTTCATTGCAAAACAAAATAGAACAGGTTATCTGGACAACTACAAAATGGAATGGATATTATTGGAGTTTTCCCCGCGAGGTTTTTGGAACCTTTTTTATGTCCTCTCTTCACTGCCTCACCTTTATGATTTTTTTTACAGACTACAGAGGGGGCATTGTGAGTTACTGTCAAGTTGAAAGCTTTAGTAGTGTACTTGTCCACAAATGTTTTTGTTACATGTGCTGCAGATTCTTCCATTAAGCATAGTACGCTCAAGGATGTGGCTTGTGGTAGTCTAAACAGAATATGAGAATAACTTCGAAAGGCACGATTATCAACAATCCTCTTTGGGAAATAGGTACTTTGATAGCTCGTGTTTCAGTCAATCACTCGTAGAAAAAAGAAGCTCCTTCCCCTTTTATAGTTTCTGCATCCTTGGCTAAGCAAGAATCTTTAGTCCATGTATTAGTTCACAGCATATCTATTATCTAGAATCTAAAGTGCTTAGTAGAGAATCAGGACATGATAAGTAACAAAATGTTATTCTTGATCCACATGAGGTTAAAACAGTATGTACAAATGATGCTCATGAGGTTACTTTTGCAGCATCTTTTTGTTTTTAAGCATAATGACTGGGTTGTGGCTAATAGTGCAGGTACTCCTATTCTGTTAGCAAATGAGAGTTTGGTTGTGAAAGTTATTGCTCCAACTAAAGCAATCTTTGATGCTAAATCATTATTCAAAAAACATTTTCCTAATACTTTTGTAACTACGTGAGAAACTATCTTAGAAGTAAATGGTACTGTAGTAAGCCATTTTATTGATAAAGAGCATTTTTATTAATCCTTATTTGAGATGATGAGGATTTTTAATAAGTCACTCTTTTGGCAGCATGACGTTGAGATGCTTTTTTAGCATAATAACATTGTTATACTATTTGAGCTACTTTTCTGAGCCTATTAGCTCAATGGTAGAGTGCCGTGTGCAAAAGTGCACGGAGATGTGGGTTCGAGTCCCACATAGGCTTTTTATGAATTTAAAATATTAAAAAATGTTTGTATTTTTGTATGTGTGATATTTTAATAGTCTAACTATTGTTTAAGAATGGTATTCTTAATTTACTATAGACAACTTGTAATAGATTACGGTTTCTATGAATTTCAAAAACAGTTCTACGCTATATAAATACACTACTATTACAAGGGTGTCCTCTATTCTTATAATAAACAATTGTGCAAAAAAAACCATATGAAACATACAACTAACAATAGATTACTATTTCTTATAAGTTTAAAAACAGTTATACATTGGGAAATTAGACTTCTGTTAAGAAATAGTAGTCTTAAGTAATTATTGACAACTGTGGCAATAAAAAATGTATTTTTTGATGAAACCGACAACTAATAATAGATTACCGTTTCTCACAAGTTCAAAAATAGTTCTACCCTTAATTCATAGACTATTGTTAGAAAAGAGTCTTCTATTCCTATTATAAATAACACTGGCAAAAAACCATATGAAACAGACAACAAGCGTTAGGTAACTGTTTCTAATAAGTTTAAAAACAATTCTAGACTAAAAACCCAGACTATTGTTTAAATAGAGTATTCTTAACTTGTTATTGACAACTGTTCTAAGAAAAACTGTATTTTGAACTGATACAAACAACTAATGATACATTACTATTTCTCGGAATTTTAAAAATAGTTTTAAAGCATAGCATCTAGACTACCGTTCTGTAGCCAAAAAAAACTTACAGTAGTCTGTTTTTTTTACAAATGTGTTTCCATAAACAGTAGTTAATCAGGAGTCGTCTGATACTGTTTTTGGCATAGTGAGAGGAAGAAGACATGGGAAGCTGAGTAGCTGCTGCGTAGGATTCCCATTTCACGATTGATAAAGAGATTCAGCACGTTACTCCCTAATTGGGACTAATTTTGGTCCCAGTCGAGGTTGTAACGCCCTGAAACCCGACTTAGTATTTTTAATTAATTTATATAATTATTTAATTATTGAGTCAGACAATACGAAGACTATTTTCTAATTTGTGTATTTAATATTAAAGTTAACCTACGTTGTAGGGCGCACTATCCTGATCCCGACCGCGCGAATGGATTAAGAATCAGGCTTATAGGGCCCAAGATACGACTGCCGAATGAGGTAATTGGGGCCTAAGTCTTCCTAACTCGTTAGAAAGTGTAAATTGGACCTTAAAACTTATTTAATTATATATTAATAGGCTGGCAGTTACCGGAAACTCACGTCTCTCCTCTTTCTTCGTCCGTTTCAACCCATCGACCCCAGCACTGCCGATTCGTGGTCTTCGTCGCTCCGTCAGGCCGGCGATCGCGGCAGCAACCGATGGGTCTCGTTCCAGGGAAACAGCGGCGGCGACCCCACCTCCCTCTCCCTTCTTCGACGGCGTGTGAGATTTCTGGCTGGTCCAGCGTCGACGACGGGAGTTCTAGCGGCGAGCTCCGTCCCAGGGCAGCCAGCGCCGGCGACCATCCTTTCCCTTTTCCACCGGCGTGCGCGCGAGCCGCGACGACTCACAGCGGCAGTTTTCCCCTTTCTCCAGTTCAAGTTTCCTTCAACAAATTCGAGGTGATTTGTGGTTTATATACCTTCGGTTAACGTTGATTCGTAGATTAGAACTTCCTTAGCATATAATCCGGCGATTTGATTGAGAATTGTGAATGCTTGTGTTGAATTCATGAAATTGGGGTTTGGGGGCTGTTTTCCAGCGTCTTCTCTGGCGACCCGCCGGCAACGTCGGCGACAAGCTTGACGGGGACTGGGCAGCAGCTCTATTTGGACCAATTGGGTTCAATTGGCATGAGTTGGTTCCAATTGGGTTTAATTGGGTCTAAACGGATTCAATTGGGCAGCCGGGGCGGCTACCGGTGGGGGTGCCGGGGTTGTTCCGGCGACGATGGAGACTGCTCCGGCGGGGGCAGCGGGCCGGAGGATCGATTCCTTGGGCTCGATTCCGCGTAGGTATGTTTGATTGATTGTAATTTGGGTTTGTTGATTATGCATGACGGTTTGTTGGTTATACATGATGCTATGTGATTTGTTGTGAATTTGTAAACTAATGTTAAAATAAATTAATCTTATTGGTGAATATTGTGGATTATGAGTAATGTATGAGAAATAGGCCACCTAGTATAATTAGGCGGACCTAAATTGGATTGACTGATTTAATCACCAATAGGATGCGGTTAGGAAATTGGCCATTGCGGGGCCTCGTCGCACCCCCGGTGGTCTTGGGTTAAAACGTACGTACGGAAGTCCGCGACCTGTCTTGGCATCGCAGGGACAGGGGCTTCAACCCGCCCAAAGTGAATCTCCTTTGGGTTTCTGAGCTGGCCCTTTTATAGCATCGCTTGGGGTGCCATGACTCAAAGTAGTTGATGTGGAATAAAATAAGGATATGATGTGCAAATGGAAGGTGTTAAAATAAATATGTTTATTTAAGCTATGTTCTTTCTCCGTGACCACTTGCTGTTGTGATTGGATGTTAATGTGGTGCTAATATGTGAATTAATGCTAGCTTAGGTATATTTTCACTCAGCAATTCGCTGAGCGTGTAGTCGTTGTTGTTTGACTGCACGCAGGTAGGAACACTGATTTTGAAGGGCAACCCGGAGGGCAGTGAAGTGGTGGTGTGGCGTGGATGGCTCTTAATTACTTTAATAATTAAACTACATTATTTTAATGGATTTCATGGACTGTTGGACGTTACTTTGGTTTTATTATGCTTCCGCGACGTTTGGACTTGTTTTGTTACTCTGATAAAAAAATTTGGTTTAGTTTTGAACTCTCACGGATGAATTTTATAATTTATTCAGTTGATTATTTTTTTTAAAAAAGAAATTACGCATGCAAATACCAATTTAGTAACAACCCGTTTCGCTAACCCGTTGGTTTGGGTCACGCGGGTTGGGGTGTTACAGAGGTACACTTTTTGGTCCAACTTTCTCCACCAAATTGAAATCTGTTTGCACCGTTGCGATCATGTGATTAAACTCCATCCAACGGTATGATTTTTATATTTATTCGTTATACTTTTTCCGACATCATATTTTTGGTGTTTGACCTTGATAGAGTCAAAATTGATTTGTTTGACCTTTACTCAAAAAGGTGCTCATTTTTCTTAGAATAAGTGCCCTTCACTAGAGGGGGGGTCAATAGTGAGGCACGAGAATGTTTATAAATTTTCGCGGAATAAAAATCGCAGGGATAAAGTAAAGAGTGGAATAAAAAGGAGTAAAGGGAGCACACCAAGATTTACCCTGGTTCACCACAACTTGTGGCTAATCCAGCCTCCCGAGAGACTCTCTCGAGCTACACTACTTCCGTTAAGCTTACGGGTGCTTAACAAACCGTTACAACCTGAGAACTCGAGTCCCACGAGCCTCAATACACTTGCTCGGAGATACCGCACTCCAAGACTTCAACC